TATCAGTGATATCATATGGCATTTTTCTCTTTGTGGCTCATTTCACTTAAAATGATGGTCTCTAGGTTCAACCATGTTGCTGCAGATGACATTATTTTATCTTTTTTTTAAGGCAGAGTAGTAGTCCATTGTATACATTGGACTACTTTATCCAGTCATCTGTTGCTTCATTTAGGTTGCTTCCATGTCTTGGCTGTTGTATATAGTGATGCTGTGAATACTGGGGTGCAGGTATCTTTTGCATTGGAGCTCCCTGTCAGTATATACCCAGAAGAGGGATTGCTGGATCATAGGTTAAGTTAATTTTTACAGTTTTTTGAGGCATTTGTATACTGTTTTCCGGAATGGGTACACCAAAGTACGTTCCCACCAGCAGTGTAAGAGGGTCCCATTTTCTCGACACCCTCTCCAGCATTTATCATTCGTGAACATGTGCGTGACGGCCATTCTGACCGGTGTGAGCTGATACCTCACTGTAGTTTTGATTTGCATTTCTCTGAGAATTAGTGATTTTGAGCATTGTTTTGTGTGCCTCTTGGCCATTTGTAGTCTTCATTGGAGAAATGCTCATTTAGGTCTTCTGCCAATTTTTAGATTGGGTTGTTTGTTTTTTGTTGCTAAGTTCTATGAGCTGTTAATATATTCTGGAAATTAAGCCTTTGTCGGTCGACTCATTTACAGATATGTTCTCCCATTCTGTAGGGTGTTGTTTCATTTTGCTTATGGTTTCCTTTGCTGTGCAAAAGCTTGTAAGTTCAGTTAGGTCCTGCTTGTTTCTTTGTGCTTTTTATTTCTGTTGCTTGGGTGGGCTGCCCTAGGAGATCATGGCTGAGAGGTTACGTCAGGTAGTGTTTTGCCTGTTTGTTTTCTTCTAAGATTTATAGAGTCTCGTGTGCATGTTTAAGTCTTGAAGCCGCTTTGAACTTCTTCCTGTGTAGGGTGTGAGGGAGTATTGTAACTTCATTGATTTGCGTGCAGCTGTCCAGTTTTCCCTACATCTTTTGCTGAAGAGACCGTGTGTACTCACTGTGTGTTCTTGCCTCCTTTGTCAAAGATTAATTGAGCAAAAGTTTGTGGGCTTATTTCTGGGCTCTCTATTCTGTTCCGTTGATCTGTAGGTCGTGTTTCCCCCCCCCCTTTCCAGTTTTATTAGGTAGAATTACTACAGTGGAACTGCACATACCCATTATATTGCCTGAAGATACATACATACAGAATACTGCACTATCTTTTAGTTTTCGTGTATGTGCTAACCGTTTTGATAAGAGGTTAGATTTTGAAACTTACATACTTACCAAAGGAAGAAAACCAACTACAAAGTAAGAATCAACAGATTGTGGTAATCCAATCACAGAGGATAGTCAGATGTGCTTAAAACACATATTTAAGAAATCAAAACGATAATTAGTCCATTTGTGGCCTTACTCTTCCTGTTGTTATTTTTTAGATTTCTCGTATGAGTGATGGCATATGGCGTGTTTCTTTCTCTTTCTGGCCCACTTCATTTAGAATGACAATCTTCAGACCCATCTGGATTGCTGCAAATGGTATTATTTTCTCCTTTTCGTATGGCTGAGTAGTGTTCCATTGTATATACGTACCACATCTTCTTTGTCCAGTCGTCTGTCGATGGGACATTTGGGTTGTTTCCGTATCTTGGCTGTCGTAAATAGTGCTGCTGTGAACACTGGGGTGGGGCGCCTGTGTCATTTTGAATTTTATTCTTCTCTGGACATGTGCCCAGGAGTGGGATTTCTGGATCACATGGTACATCTATTGTCAGTCTTTTAAGGGACCTCCATAGTGTCCTCCATAGTGGCTGCAGCAATCTGCACTCCCACTGACAGTGTAGGAGGGTTCCCTTTTCTCCACACCCTCTGCAGCATCTCTCACTTGTAGTCTTCTCAGCAGATGGCCATTGTGGCTGGTGTAAGGTGATGTCGCATTGTACTTTTGATCTGCGTTTCTCTGGCAACTAGTGATGCTGAGCATTTTCATGTGCCCGTTGGCTATTTGTGTGTCTTCACTGGAGAACTGCTTGTTATAGGTCTTGAGCCCCTTTTTGGATCCGGTTGCTTGTTTCCTGGATGTTAAGGTGTCTGAGCTGTTTGTATGCTTTGGAAATGAGTCTCCTGTCAGTCACTTCATTTGCAAAGATTTTCTCCCACTGTGTACGTTGTCTTTTCATTTCGCTGACGGTATCCTTAGTTGGGTAACAGCTTTTAAGTCTAATTGGATCCCGTTTGTTTCTTTTTGCTTTTGTTTCCAGTAGTCCAGGAGCTGGTCCCAGAACTGTGTTGCTGTGATGTACGTCCACGAGTGTTGTGTCTCTGTTTTCCTCCAGGAGTTTTGTAGTATCTGGCCTTACGTTGAGGTCCTTCATCCGTGCTGAGTTTATTTTTGTACGTGCTGTTAGAGAATGTTGTAATGTGAGTCTTTCACAGGTAGCGGTCCAGTTTTCCCAGCACTGCTTACTGAAGAGATTTTCTTTTCTCCCTTGTATGTGCTTGCCTCCTTTGTCATGGATTGATTGACCATACGTGCGTGGGTTTCCTTCTGGGCTTTCTATCCTGTTCCACTGATCCCGTGTGTGTGTTTTGGTACCAATACGGTGCTGTTTTGACTGTAGCTCTGTAGAAGTATTGTCTGAAGTCTGGAAGGGTTATTCCTCTAGCTTTGTTCTTTTTCTTAAGTAGTGCTTTGGTAATTCTGGGTCTTTCATGTTTCCATGTAAATTTTAGGATGATTTGTTGTAGTTCTGTGAAAAAATGTCCTGGATAATTCGGTAGGGATCGCATTAAATGTGTAGAGTGCTTTGGGCAGTATGGCCATTTGAAGATGATTCATTCTTCCAATGCAAGAACGTGGGGTGTCTTTGCATTTCTTTAAGGCCTCTTTAATTTCTTTATCCAGGGTTTTGTAGGTCTCCACATGTCAGTCTTTGACTTCCTGGGTCAGATTTATCCGTAAGTATTTTGTTTTGGGGGATGCAGTGTTGAAGGGATTATTACTTTTCGTGTGAAGAAGTGCCACTCATTCCTGTATGTTGATGTTGTGTTCTGCTACCTTGCCAAATTCTTC